GTTCTAGAAGTGTGCTAAAAAGCAGTAAATTCCAAATGCTACTAACTGATCCTGAGACTGCTTAATTCATTTTGAGAAACTTCATCTTATGCATCTTTTTTTGCACTGTGGGATAGTTGTGGAACAGTCTGGATCCTGCAGAGTGGAGCTTCAATCTCAGGCAGCACTGCCTGTTTTGGGACACAGAGTGGCAGTGTTTGCTATGATGAAAAATAAATGCCCCTCAGGGTCACATGTTTATTGGATCAATACCATACTGTACAAAAGAAGAGGTTATTCATGAGTGTATGAAAATCCCAATAATGCCCCATAGACCAGATTAGGTATGTGCAATGTGATTAAAGAAAATCAGTGGATCCCTAATTTTCTGTGTGATGTGTCATAGTTACAGTATCTCACTACTACAGTTCTGCTACTACTGTGTAGCAAAGGTGATGTTTTGGTGTTAGCAGCAGATTAGATAATAGCAGCAGTGTTGCCAAGGTTTAAATTCACTTAATCTCTCATATTTATGTCAGAAAACTACCCCCTATTAAATCTGTCTTCTTTAAGATGATCTGATGGGTTCAGTGTCACACTCTTCAGTCTCTATTATTGGGGCAAATCACTCATCCTTTAAAATACATTTTCATGAAATGGATCAAATAATGTCTCGTGTTTCTTACACCGATATATATTATTTTTTTCTTTAATTTTTTTAGCAGTTGGTGTTTCTGCACTGCACTTCTAACAGTGCATTTCTGATGAAAACAGTGGGATGTCTTCCTTGCAATACTTTTAAGTTTGAGATTTAGTAGCCAGCACTCTCTTCTTCTGCTTTTGCTCAGCCATGGCGATTATCATCATTCATATTAGCTACGCAGCTCTTCTATTAATTTGTCTATGCACAGGCGGAGAAAAGGAAAGAAAAGAAAAAAACTGAGAAGAAGAATTGCTGGGCAGAATTTTCCCAGGAAGGAGCAACGAGACACTACAACAACAAACCTCTGATGAACCGGGAAACACTGTGGCGTTATATCAGCCAGCAACAGCATGTGGCGAACCGGCCATTTACTGATATGAAATTATTGCAAAATGTTTCAATAAATGATTGTGTGAGAAAAATTAGATGTCCAAAAAAACTGCATATACACATTAAATAAGTGGGTCAGTAATGACAAAGGGTTGATATGAAACAGCAGATTAGAGATGCATTTATATACTGTATTTTCATACACATTAAAGCAGTGACCCCACATGCCCTCTGGATGGGAGCACTATCATCCTGGACGAGACCACTCGTTTAGTCAAGTTTTTTCTTTTACTTATCACCCGTCTGTATAACACTGTGGTGTAACACTGCATTGGCCCTGCTTCCACTGAATCACCCATTTGTTATCGCACATAATTAGTGTACAGTGTATTGAACATTTTGGAGCATAATTTCTCTGATGTTCTTTTGTGTGTGTGTGTTTTAATTAACACACAGTTTAGTATATTCCTCAAGAACAGTTCATCCAATAGCATTGCTGTTGCAAAAATTTAACTTGACATCTTTTTTTCTTGATTCTCTCTTACGTTGCACAGCACCACAATACTGAACCGTGTTGCTCGTTTGTTGTTGCACAGATGGACAGTGTAACAGTCAAAACATTGTACATCTAATGTACTTACTGATGCTCATACTGTATGGTGAGCGAGGAAAAACTGATGCAAAATACCAGTGAAAAAATGCTTATATTCTCATGCGCAAGTTTCCAGACCTGGGCTTGCCCTGTCATCAAGATTTTGTCCAAAAATGACAGACTCTGTGCTCTTTTTGCAGCATTTTGTGGCAGTGCGGTGCCACAGTGCCAGCTATCATCAGAAAAGATGTTTTTATTTCCCATACTGGAGATGAAAGAATGTTTCATTGAGAGCTTTCTATGAACTAATTGAGGATTTGCCCCTTTCGGTAAATACAACTGGAAAATCCAACACAAACTCTAAGGAACCTTTAGTGGGAGGGAGTTGGATTCTGGGTGTCATGGAAGATCCACTTTGTATCTTATTTAATCCACAGGTAACTTCACTTTCAGAGCAACAGCAAAGTGAAGCTGCTGAATCCTTGTGTGTCAGTGATGATCACTCTCAGATTTTTAAGTGCTTTATTTTGAATTTTAACAAGTGAGTGGCACATTCTTCCTTAATGCTGCAAGTGCTATGCCATAAGTGTGTCTCTTTTTGTATAGTTTAGCAATGTTACATGCTTTTGGGGGCACCGACAGTGGTGCGGTGGGTAGAGCAGTCGTTTCCTAACTGGAAGGTTGAAGGTTTGTATCTCAGTGCCAGCAGTCCACGTGTCGAAGTGACCTTGGGCAAGACACTGAACCCCCAAGTTGCCCATGATGGCGGCGCGTATGCACACAGTAGCCAAGGGCTCTCAGCTCCGAACAAAATTTCATTGTATGTGTCACAGTGTTACAATAAGCTAAAATAAAGCTTTTCCAAAGGACATCACTTGGGTCATTGAGGGCACCTATAGTGCCTACTTTGTTATGTTCCTTTTGCCCCCACCCCCTACCTTCCTGTGCTGCCTTTGCCACAAATTCCTATTTGCTTAATTTTCACTATGACTTTAGTTTTCACATAGCTGAAAAAATGAAGCAGTTTGACTGTTTGCATCAGGAAGATATACAAACCACTGGAGGGGCCATATGTTGCAGCAGAATTTGCCTTGAGTGTCTATGGCTTTGTGCAATAGAAGAATCCCTGTTTTAAATCCAAAGTAATATATACAGAATGTGTTTTAGTGATCCTATGAATCCCAGTCAGTTATACAATATGTCACAGACACATTACTGCAGGTACAGTGGAATCTCTTCAAAATATTATTCAGCATTGGTCATGCATGAAGTCAAACACAAAAGGATGGAGAACCCACACAATAGAACTTTATTGTGTGCTACATAACATGTACTTGGGTAACTTTAAAGTAATTTCATAACCATAATACACTGATGATTGTTGAGCAAATATTAAGATGAGAAGAAAAGGTCTGGTCATCTACAAACAGTTTAGTTTGTCTGTGAGTTTTAAGGGCATTGCAAGAGAAATCCATAACAACAATTCCAAGCATATCAAAATAATCTCATACTAGGTTAAATGAACAATAATTTAGGAAAATGCAGCATTACATTTAAAGGCATGGCACTGCTATATATTTAGTTTACTGTTGATATATTTAACCTTTGTGCCAGAAATACTCCACAATTTGTTTTCACATGTGAAACTTTATTTATTTATTTTTTGCTCTACTTGTATATTACCTCAGTGAGAAAAACCTTTTAGT